CTCGATGATAACATCCGAAGATGGAGGTGCACCGAATAGAGACAATTCGATTGGCGATTTTGAATCATTGAACGGCACGGATGATGACGTTGAGGCTGCATCTCTGAAATCTGCTTGCTTGAATGACTCTGAAGTTAGGAAATGAAATGATTCGAATCACTAAATGAATTGAAACCGTTCATTTCGGTTCAAAATGAAATTGAGTTTAATGCTCCAAATGAACAAATACTAAATTGCAATTCACAAAAACTTCAAAATGATCATCAAACGACGACGATCTCAATTGATCTCATATAATTAAGGTTGTACTTGCAGTAGAATATTTTGAATGTTACGTGAAGTCTCGTAGTCTATAATTATCTTTAAAACGTACGCGTGCTTATTTTTGAGACGTGTTTGCTTCGATACGGAATCATCATTATCATTGCTCGATAACTGAAACTGATTTTCAGCATCATCGTCGCTACCGCTCGTGAAATTATTCTTCTTTGCCCATTCATTGATGATTTCGACCATCGTATTATACCCTACATCATCAGCCATCGTTGCGTTCGGTCTACGTGCCGATGCCACTCTCGAAACCGGATCGACGATTGACTGAAAATGCACTATCATTGTTAACTTTATTATTGCTATCCTTATTAATGTCATGAATCTTTTGCTTGCATTCGTTTGGTGAACATTTGTTTGGTCGATTACTCTCGGCGATTGATTGTTGTTATACATAATTACTGGTGTTGTTATTCGGTTGTTCAATTAGGCAAAATATTGGTGATGACGATAATGAATATTCACTGTTGATTGGATGTAAAACGCTTAATATGCATGTCGATATGGATCTGTTCGGTTACATCAGTCATAATCGCTATTTACCAGTGATCCACAGAGAACTAGTTCATGGCCATCCATTGTTTTCATCAGAGCAAGGGATTATTTTACATATGTTCCTCCAATCAATCTGATTCTAGTATTTTTGGCTTGTTTCAAGAGCCTCTCCCTGGAAATTTTCGGGTATGATAGAAGAGTAGTCCTACGCCCAAATGAACGTCAAATCAATGAGAATTTCATGATGAGAATGTTTCCTTGTGACTGGTTCGTTAGCAGTGTGGAGAGAAGAGTGTCAGAGGAGGAACAATGTAATAAGAATAATAAGGAATAATAAGAATAAGATCAAAGAAATATTTGTGATATTGATAATAAAACGGAGAAGTAAACTCGTAATGAGTTGAAATTACTGATTAAATGAATAGTCACCAAAATATTTTGCTTACTGCTAGCCGTATCCTTGATACCTCCATTTTCAATACTTTTAAGTATATTGCGTTGAATTTCAAAGTGTTAGTATGCACGAAACGAATGAATATTATAGTTCAAGACAACAGTGATAATGATAATATATGATAATAACAGAAATGAATACGAATAGTAATTCTATAAACAATGAAAATGACAATGGAAATAAGTAATTTTGATAACCCAATAATCATTATCCTCTTTTTCGGTATGTTTCGGTTCAGTTGTATCCTCACCACTCTTCTTATGTCGCCACTGACTGCTGTCGAATACGGATGAAAGTGGCTTGAAAAAAATTCAGTTTTTGAATTATTTTTACATCTGTCATAGGATTAAGATTACGACAACTAACTTTATTGAATCATCAGTGCGTACTTGAAATGAAAATAAATTACGCTTAATATCGCTGGTTTAGATCGTGTTTGAGAGTGAAAATTTCGTTCAAATGATTACTTGAAAATAGAATCGATGAATATTTTTGACTATATGTCAATGAATCGCAGAATAAATTCACTTTGCTGTGCATGCAGTGAAGTAATATTAAATACTACTTCTTTATGACGTTCAATATCACTTCGCTGTGCATGCAACTAATCGGTTGCTAAAATATTCGTACGATATGTTTATTAAGAGAATATGAAACTAAACCTTGCCATTTCTATACGCATCAAATAAAACATATAATGCAGTCAGCGGTACCACAAATAAAGGTCCCGTCATCGTGATCCATGCCACTAATTCATAATATATGGGCAATATTTTGCCTTCGAATGTCACTCGTTGATATGTGAACACTGATGACACCAACAAAAACTGCAATAATACACTCTGTCTTCAAATGAACTATTATCCACGACCTAAAATATCAGTTTAAATGTTGAATTCGAATGAGAGCGTCTTCATAATGATTCCATTATGAATTTGCATTTGAGTGCGATTGTTTTGTACCAATTGAGCTTGGTCAATACTTGTAATTATTGTTCGTTGAATCGTTTCAATTCACTTAAACTGCGGAAAAGTTCTTCAGACAACTGCGATTTCCGAAAAAGAAAGCTCAGATGTGTTCTACAATATCATTACAAAGAAACGAAATTGTGCAAATGTGCAAAATTTTTTCGGTACTGTTTGCATTGACACCAAAACGAATGCCATTCCAAGCACTGTCCAGCAGTGAATTGTTAAAACTGATTTGTTGATACTACAAAATGCTGCTTTAGGTATCTATCCTCTTGACTGATTGTAATTTTAACCAACCAAAACAATTGCAAAAGAATATATTCTAAAACAAACTCCGAGAACACATGGACTGAAAAAGCTCCACGTCCATCGTATGTATGTACCAGTCGGACCGAAAAAGAATTTCGCTTTCACCCAAAAACT